CATTTCTGAATACCCCTGCAGAGAAGCTAAATCTGCCAGAAACTCACGTTTCTGTAAGCGAGGAGCCTGCCAGGGGCTCTGGACTGAGACAGAGGGGCCCACGCTGCTGGCGGTGACAGTGCCATGGACTGCCAGGGCAGTTTTCATCAAGAGAACAGAGCAAGGCAGGTCTTGCCCTGCCGTCATTTGAAAGGGACTCCTCTGAGTTAGAAATAAAGGGGAAGAAATAAATCCAACCTTAGTGGAGAGGTCAGGAGGGGCAAGGAGTGGGCCCTGTGGCAGTTCTCCATGTCCTGCATGGCTTTAGCATCCCAAGCTATTGCAACTTGCTTTACTTAATTTAAACTCAACCCATTTTAAGCGGGGCCAGGAAAGTTTGGTAGGCAGGTGGAGAAGTTTTAGAATATTTGGAGCAGCACGACCAGGCTCCGTTTTGGAAGACAGGAGTTGAGGTCAACCTTGAGCTCCTAGTTAAAGGAATTAGTTTGATCTGGAGGTGTAGAGGCAGGGTGGGGATGGGGGGGGGGATGGTGTGGAGTTGGAGCATCAGTGGGACTTGATAATGGTCAGCGTTCAGCAGAAATGTTTAATCTTCCAAAAACTGATGAGTGAAGGACAGCAGCAGTGCCTGTGGGTATAAGGGTGCCTGGGTGATGAGCAGGACGAGCTCGGCATGCTGAAGTTTGCTTCTGCTGCGTGGAAACTTGCCTGGCCTTTTGCTTGCAGGGGTTCAAGTCCAAAAAAAAAAAAAATCTTTTGGAGTGGTTAATCTGTGCCCTGAGCTACAGACAGCAAAGCTGAGCTAGTAAGCATTGCTATTTGGTCCAGTGAGAGATTCAACCCACACGGGAAGCCCCCAGTTGTGGGACAGAGAAGGCTCCTCTGCAGGGAGCCTGAAGGAGGAGGGAGTGTGAAGAGGCTGCGCAGGGGGGGGACCAGCACAGAGCAGACCCCTAGCTGGATTATCACGGTGTGCAGATGGCCTTTCTGGGGCCTTGGGGTGGCTCAGGGTGGATGCTGGAGGACCCCAGTGTCAGGGAGCACGTGCTTCTGGTTCATTGCTAACGCTCCTTCCCACCGCTACCTGGAAGCGCAGACTCTTGGGGATGGGGTGCGTGTGCTGGGAGGGGTGGAGAGCTGTCACAGCGCAGGACAACAGACCAAGGGCTGTTTCGAAGCCAATAGATAAAAGTGCTGCCTGGGGTTGATGCTCACAGAAAGCCCCAAAAGCTCGAGCCTTGCTATAGCTGTTCAGAATCCAAGATGCTTGTCTGTAGCCACGGCAGCTGGGGCAAGGGGGACGTGCCGTGGCGGCTCCTAAAATGGGGTTTCCGAGTCTGGGTGGGACCCCAAGGCGCTTCTCCCTCCCCCGCGTCCTCCGATGGTGGCCACCCCACCAGCAGCACCCCACAGCACCCTCTTTGGGCAACCATGTGCAAGCCAGTGCCCTCTTTCACACTTCCAGAGGGGGGACCCCCAAGCTGGTGGTCACGAAGGGGACTGATGAGCCACCCTGGGGGCACTGGGTGCTCAGAGGCAGGGCTGGCCACACTTGAGATGCTCCAGAGAGACAGCAAGACTCTGCGGAAACCCCTTGGACGTTCCCAGGGACCTGCTGCAGAGTGCAAATCCTGCTGGTAACAGGAATCTCCTGGCTAGCTTTGCTGATAACAGCTCCTGCTCGGCCAGACGGGCCCTTTGCCTTCACAGCGTCCCTTCCCTCCGCACGAGGGGTGTTGCTGGCTGGCGAGAAGCTCTTGGCACTTCTGGTTCCAAAAAGAGGCAGGCTCAAGTCCTTAAAAGGTGAGGAATCTCACTGTATTCATTGTCCCTCGGTGCTTTTTGCAAGAGTACAGATGCCTCTGGATGCTTTCCTGCACAAGTCAAATTTTTTTTTTTTTTTTTTTTGTTACAAGATAAACAGGCTTTTCTGCAGCTGTGCCGTGTGTGTGTGTGTGTGTGTGGGTGTGTGTGTGGGGGTGTCGGGCACTGCATGCTCAGAGAGGTTCCTGGTGGTCTGCAAATACGCTTCCCCAGCTGGGCCTGGGTGCCAAAGCCTACAGAAAAATAATTGCGGGGGTTTCTCCTCGAATAACATTAAATTTTCCCTTTTTTCTCTCCATCACTTTCTGGCTGCGCCCGGCCTCTGTCCCTCTGGGAATGCAGCTGAGCCTCCTCCTTAGGTACTTATATGGCCCCCCCAATACCGATGCACTTGATTCCTACCCAAGCATTTAAAAATAGCTGTAACAATAACACAGGGGCTCTGCTTCTCCCCTCCCCGCCCGCAGCAGAAATACCAGTGGTGAGTTAACAGTCTGCATCCAGATTTGTGACCGGAAAGGGCTCCAAGCCTCCCTTTTCTCTTTTATCCTTGAAGTTGGCGATAAACGTGGGGAAAAAGACCCACGAACGACCCTTGCAATCTCCCCTCACCCCAGCCTGCCCGGGAAGGGGGGACACACCGGCGGGCGCGTTGTTTGGAGCCGAGGGATCGGCATCTCTGGGGCGAGCGCATCCCGCGCTGCCCTGGCACGGCTACGGGGGCAGGCAGGAGCAGCTCGGCCGGGGGATGCTGCAGGTTTGTGCCTCCCGCTGGCGCCGGGGACCATCAGAGTCCCTGGCCCTTTTGCACCTTTTCAGTGCGTTCAGGTTGCGGCGGGGATTTTGCCTCCGCTCCTGCCGGGCCCTGGTGAGGGTGGGGGATTTGGTTTTGCTGAGAGGCTCAGGGCTGGCACCGCTCCAGGCGCTCCTTCCATCTGCCCCCAGGTGCTTTCCACCGTTTGGGCGTCTGCCTCTGAATGTCCGTTGCACTGTGCTGCACCCTTTTCCACAGAAACGCTTGCCTTTGGCTAGCGAGGGGATGAGGGAGGCTGAGAGCAGCCAGATGGCTGGGAGGGGGGGCGTGCTGAGGGTTTGAAGTGCTGTTTCTGGCTCCCTCCTTGAGGCTTTATGAGAGACGCTCGATGCCCTTCCCCTGCGAGGGAGGGTGGGGAGGCTGGAGGGGACGAGGAGGAGATGGGAGAGGACTGGCATCAGGCCGGGGGGAGCCCCGTGGGGCAGGAAGGCAGGAGAACAAGACTGTGCTGGTCCTGGGGGCTGCGCTCCCTCCTGGATACCCCCTGGCTGCGTGCCGCGCCGGGCGCAGGCGTCCCGCCGAGGAGGGCCAGCTCGCTTTTGCGTTTAGCGGGTTCGGTTTAAAGGCGAGGCAGCGGCCAGGTGAGAGGGTCACGGCTCATCGGTGGCTCCTCCATGAGCAGCTGGGTAAACACCCAGCGTGCTCCACACGCTCTCATTAAGGACGCCACGCAGCGTGGGGCTGGCAGAGAATAATCGCGTAAACAAATCCGAGTGATTTAAGCCTTGTCCTAAGCAAGCAGTGCTCCATCACTCCCTTTGGGAAGCTCTGTGAGCAGGACCGTTATTTACTGCCCGTTAAACTGAGCTGCTACACGAGCCCCGTTTGACTTGTTAATGACTTCAGCGACTGCAATTCATTCTGAAGAAGCAAGTGATGAAGGTAAAACACCAACATCGCCTTTCGGTAGATGTAATTACTGGGTCAGGAGAGCTGCTTCGCTTTCCTAATTCACTGCCTGCGAAAAGCCCAAGGACGTGACTGCCTGCGTTTGCCTGTGGCTGGACGAGCATTGAAGCTTGACCTGCACTCATCCTGGAGGGTGCTTAGCACCTGCGTGGACGGCGGGGCTGGCCACGTGGCTGACAGAAAGCAGCATAGGGTGTGGGGAAAGGCCGGGTTTGCGTGTGAGCAGCCCAGAGATCACGTTAAACCTTCTGGCTGCCCGGGTGCATTAGCTCCCTGCTCTGCCACACAGCCCCTCACATCGGCAGATGGGAATTTTGCTGCCTTCGGGCCTCTACAGACACCAGAAAAAAAAAAAAAAAATATCAATTACATCCTACCCTCTCTCCTTTTGCTCGGTGGCACATTTCTAGCCCGGAGCTCAAAAGTCAGACGCTGCTGTTGGTGCTGGTCTGCCCGGCTGCGCAGCCCCAGCCTGACCCCGCGCAGCAGATGGGCAGGAGCGTGGGCAGGACCCCAGGAGCGTGGGCAGGACCCCAGGAGCGTGGGCAGGACCCCAGGAGGGGCAGGGAGAGCCTCCCCCCCCCACCCCAGATGAAGGCAGCATTTGCCTGGGCCCTGTCTCCAAAGCTGGTGTTTGAGTTCAGCCGTCAGAGCGGGACCCCGGGAGCATCGCGGGGAGGGTTTCTTTGGGGACAGCTCAACAGATGCTGGATGAAACACAGGGAGCAGCGACATCCCCGGGCATGTGGAGACGTTTCTCCTCCTCCTCCTCAGGGCTGGCTGAGCTCTATCAAGCCCCGTGGGTCCGAAATGGCCCATGGTGGCACCTGGAATGGAGCACGGGCAGGCAGCCGCCCCGAGCAACCCGAGCTCCCGGTTTGCTTGGCGACCTCGTGGGGGGGTGTCTCAGATCTGCTTTTGTTTCCCTGCCCTTGGAACGCATCCCTCGCCTTCCCACTTACCATTAGCTAGTGGCTTAACCTAGCACAAGTCACCGTGAGGCTGGAAGAAGAGCAGGGGGTGTTCTGTACATCTAGAGGACGTGAGCAGAAAGAGCTGCTCACCACCTTGGGGGCTCATCCCAAGTTTAGGGCAAGCCAGCGCTGATGGGGGGGGGGACTCCTGGAGCAGCTCCTGGTCCCAGTAGGGTTGCACTGGAGCTTTGTCCCTGGGTGGTTTCCTGCACCCCCCCACCCCCCCCGAGAGCTGGGTGGGATGCGAGCCCCGGTTGTACCGCAGCACACCGAGCCGGAGGCACGATGGAGATGGAGCAGGAGGAAAGCCATGAAATGGGGCGAGAGCGGGCGTTCGGAGACACCAATGCCCCCTGTCAGCAGCAGAAACACAGCGAAAGCAAACCAATGAGTGAAGAAGAGATGGGTACAACGTCAGGAGAGACAACGGGAGGGGAAGGAAGAGTTTTCCATAGAGAATATGCAGGAGCACCACTGGATCCATCAGGAAACATTACAAACTTTATTTGTTTGTGCATTGTGTACCATTGATAAGGATCATCACAATTAGTGGACTCACTGCCTATAGTGGTGGGCAATACACACAAAGAAAAATCAATGAAGCCAAACAGATGAAAATGAAATCATTGTACATAAAGGTAATCATAAATCTGAACAGCCTGCACCTGTGTTTGATTCTTCCCCCGAAACAATGAGAAACAAAAAGAAAACCCCCCAAACCCATCAACAGTGAAAAGAAGGCTTGAGGAGAAAACAAAAAAAAAAACCAAAAACCCAAAACCAAACACCACAACTTCATATTCCTAGAGAAGATCTTACAACAGGTTAATGAAAATTTCCACGGCTTGTTCAAAACGAGTACAAATCCCCCCCCCCCGCCCCCCCGCCGCTCTGCTACGGCGCAAGCGTCAGCCGTGGTTTTTCACCTGGGTGGGAAGAGCTCACCAGTGGACGTGCAGGCTGCGTGTTTGCCTGGCTGGGACTCCAGGAAGCCCCCGGGGAAAGGCGTAAGGGGAAGAAGACCAGTCGGAACACCAGGGCACCAGGTCATCCCAGCGCTGCGCCCGGCAGCGCGCGCGGGGGGGGCTCGGCTCTCTACCCCAGCCCGCAGCGCCGGAGTCGGGGGGGTGTGGGGGTGTGATGCTGAGTTACACCTCCCTATCTCACCCTTCCCATTGATTTCAGGTTTGGGCAGTGCAAGATGTGGCCTTTTTCCTTGGCGGTGGGGGGGGGGGACACACACATGACTCTTCCTGGTTACCCTCGGTGGCGTGGCAGAGCTTGTTACAGCCCTTCAGCCTTTTGCACTTGAATTATTCTGCCTCCGTACGGCGGTGGGGGAAGGACTGGCTCTGGGGACTGATCCTGATGGCTCAGTGCTCGGAAAGAGGGGCTGTCACTAAACCTCCAGGGACGCAGGGGGAGGCCGGCGGGGGTTTCGAGGCAGCCACTGGCTCTAAAAGCAGAGGCAGGCAAGGTGCTGGGAGCTTGCCCCCCTCGGGTTCGGACGCTGCTCTTCCCTCTCTGGGACCTCGTGTAAAAACCTCTTGCAGGGGGAGGAGGCCTTCACACTGGCTTCAGCACGTCCTGGACTGGCCACTGTGGGGGGGGGGATCCTGGCCGTGCAGGGGTGGGGGGACGGAGCCTGCGATCCCTGGGGTGTGGGTTTTCCTCCCTTGAAAACCTACCTCTGCATGGCTGTTATTGCTTCTCGTGGAGCCACGTGCAGAGCAATAAACGGGGACGGCTTCCCCTCCTTTCACCCCCGCGGAGAGGAAACGCACAAACGGACAGTAACCTATGGTGAAACTAAACGGGCTAAAATAAATAAAATCCAGTGGAAAGAAAACACTTGTATCTGCGATGCTCAACCCACACGGCTGGAAGGACTATCGCTATAGGATGCTATATACAGAGAGGGTTCATTTCATTCATGCAAATGTTACAAGTACCACGACAGCATGCCCAAGGAGGCGGGGGAGGCAGGAGGGAAGCCCCCCCGCCGCTCCGCGCAGCCTTGGCTTAGGACACCGGACACGGGGTTGCGGCTGCGCATCCCCGAAGCATGGAGGGGGGAAAGGCGAGGGGCACGGCGGGGTGGGGAGGAAAAATGCTAGTTGTACACACACGCCAAAACCAAAAAAAAAACCAAAAAAAAAACCAAACCCCAAAACAACCCCAAATCAATGACGAAAACGGTTTGTGTTCTATCCTTAGAAAAAGCTCCCCAGTTCCCCTGGTCTTCAGGCAGGTCTCTCGCTTCTCTCCAAGAGGGGCCAGGGGGGACGTTCCCGAGTGGCGAAGGCAGGTAGAGACAGTGGGTTGGAGATCAGGACCCTCGCGTGCCTCTCCTTCCCTTGCCCACCGCTCCGTTTCTCACCAGCTACTCTGGCCTTCCCCGTCCCGACGCACCCCGGTCACCTTCACATCCATCCTCCCAGGGGACCGGGCGGGCAGGAGGGAGCGGTGGCAGAGGGCTCGGTGGCTGTCAGCTGCTCTTGTTGGGAGAGTTGCAGAGAGGGCCCTGCCGCCGGGCTCCTGGCCGGGGCCGCTGCCCGAGGGCGGCGGGGGGGGGGGGGGGGGCCCTGCTGGCTTTGGGGTCCTGCCTAGTTCAGAGGATGCTCCAAAGCCGCTTTCCGTCAGCAGGTGTGTGAACATGGCAAATCTCTTTTATTCTTTCTCTGTTCATTATACACAGCCTTATATCTATATCTATACCTATATATCGCTCTATATAGATACATATAGATATATATATATTTACTATCTCCGATTGTCCCTTTAGAAGCCCTTTATGTGGCAGTAGGCTTCCAGAGATGAGAAGAATATGTACAAGAGCCAGAGGAGGATAAAGAGTGAGGATGTGAGCAGCTTGGAAGTCCGCGGCCCGCCCAGCTCACCTCCAATCTCGGGTCTCCGCCGGTAGAGCAGCACGCCCACACTGATAAAAGCAAAAATGGTGAAAAGGGTGACGGAGAAGGCCAAGGTGCCGGGCGAGACTTGGAAGACTTGTCCGTGCGCTGCATGGTAGATGGCTGCGATGGACCAGGCCACCCCGATGCCCAGGAAAACGTTCACGGCATTGCTCCCGGTGACATTCCCGATGGAGGCATCTGCGTACTGGTCCTGCGTCGCCGCTACTTTGCTGGCAAACGTGTCTGCAGAGGGAAGGTGGAGAGAAACCCTCAGGAAACAGCCAGGTACAGAGCGTCAGCAGCTTGGGCACCAATGCCAGCGACATCGCTTGGGGAATGAAGAGAGGGGGGTAAGGGGACAGGGGTACAGCCCCGTCCGTGGGGAAGGGCAGATCCAGCCAGAGCCAGAGGGACAATCAGGGTCCAGAAATGCCCAGGCGGGAAATCTCAATGCCCAGAAATATGTTGTTTTTTTTTTTTTTTTTTTTTTTTTCCCCAATATGGCCCCAGATGTCACACGGTGCTTCAAGCAGGAGACAGCACTTCCCAGTGCTACACTCTGTTGGCCCTTTCTCCCGCGTCCACTGATTTGTTGAACTCAAAAGCTTTGTGGGAGCCACAGTGGTTTGTATCTGTTCTTCAGGTCCCCTGAAGTTTTGCATTTGTGTTTCTGTCTTTGCTTTAATGACGTCTCTCCAAAACCTTCTGTCTCGCTGAAGCCCAGCGTCCTGGGCAGACCCTGACACTCGGGTAAACAAGCGGTCATCTTTCACCCCTCGGGGAGAAAAAAAACCCATACAGGTGGGGGTATGCTTGGCCCAGGTGCCCCACCAGCTTTAATAGTGGTGGCAAAAGAGCTGTGATGAAACTCGTCTGGCCATTTACTTGGCAGATCTTGTGTCAGGCAGACCAGCACGACACAGGGAAGTGCCGAATTCACATCCAAACCCACTCTGGATCTGCAGGGAGCGGGGGGGGGGGTGTGTGTGAACAGGAGGGAGGGATTAGCATCTGGATTTTGTCCGGGTGAGCACTCTCAGCGAACAATAAGATGAATCCTTAACACATCCACACTCCCCGATCACCTCGGGTGCAGGCAGCAGAGCGCGGCTCAGAAAAAGAAAACGGTGAGGTCGGATTTCATGTTTTTTGATTCTACAGAGTTTCCTTTAACGCTCCTTCCCAGCGGGGCTCCAAGGTGAGACGGCGAAGACCTGGCACAAGGACCCAGTTTCATGTCACAGGAGGGGCTGGGCACCTATCAGCGCACTGAGAGAGGCCGTTTGCAGCAAAGAAATCAACAGGCTGCTTTATTTTTATTTTTTTTTTTTTTTTTAAAAAAAAAAAGCTCCCACTAAAGTGCTTCTGACTGCTGAGGGAAGGGAAAGGCGCTTCCCCCGGTTCTCAGCCTCGAGCGCGGTGCAGGTACCGGGGTTGCGGGACGGCGCTGATGCCCCCGCGGGGTCTCCAGCTGCCACTGTGGGAGGAGGGATGGGGCACCCCGGGGGGCACCCCGCCAGCACCAGCCAGGGTGTGGGAACAGCCACGCTCACTTCGGCGAGCCCGCGCGGTGCTTCGAAGGCAGGGAAGGTCCCTGCCAGCCTTGGTTTCGCTGGAGGTTCAGCTGATGCCTGCCCACCTCCTGTCTCCAGGTGTGGAGGAGCCCAGCTAGCACCCAGCTAGCACGACATGGTCTGCTAGTTCAAACAAGAGTATCCCAATGTATCCCCCAAAAGACTTTCTTAAACACCACCCTTCTGTCGACAAAAGCAGGGGGGAAGATTTTCGCCGCCGAGGGTGAGAGACAAACCTCACGCCTCGAAGCTCTAGTGCCAGAGGTCTGAAAAAAAATGCTCCTCCTTCTGTTCCTTGCCCAAATCTGTTCTTCCTTTCGGTTCTGCTGCTTCTTTTGGGGGCTCTGATAGCGTTAGGACAATTTCAAGATCTCCGAGCACCTGAGTGCTGGTCACTGGAAGGCTGGAGGTGACGAGGGAAGGTGTGACTGATGCAAAGGGTGGTTGGGTTGGGTTAGAGCCCCTTGTCCAGGAACCAGGTTCTGCCTGGCCAGCACAGCCCGTGGAAGAGGGTGAGTGAAAGGCACGGGCCCTCTTACAGAAGCTGACACGGGACTTCCCAGAGCAACCATAAAAAAAACCTCCTTTTTTTTTTTTTTTTTTTTTTTTTTTTTTTTTTTTTTTTTCTCCCTGCTCAGTCCTTGGTCTCTGCTGTCTTCTGAGGCTGGGTGACCACTCGATCAGACACACATCTTAAACATATTGGGGGCTGGGTCCTTCTAGGACAAGTCACGTTTTGAGCATCTCCCCCAGGGGCTTCACAAGTCACGTTTTGAGCATCTCCCCCAGCTCAGCGACCTCACCTCGATCCATCTGAACCCAAACTGAACCTGGTCTCACGCAAAGGTGTCCGTGCTGGGCAGTGCACCCTGAATACGAGCTAGCACCTAACTCACCCGGGAGGCAAGGTAAAAGACGCTCAGAAAAAAGGCCCAGGACTGTCCACACAGGCAGCATTTTAACCAAAGACCAGTTTCCTACCCTGAGAGTGGATGCCACGGAGGCCGTCCACGGAAATAGATACCTCACAGTCTTTGCAAGGGGGAAGGCCCTTGAAATAATTTCCCGGTGACTGAATCCACATCCTGGTTTGATCCTCCTGGCCCATCTGCGACTGAAAATCAACTTCCACGTACACCTCAAATCTGTCCTCGGAGGTCCTGCAGAGCGCAGCCGAGGACCTCCCCGTGCCCAGCTGTCCCAGCCCAAACCCAAACCCAGACTGGGCAGAGATGGACATTTACAACAAACCCTGCTGCTGTCCTTACCTGGCACCGACGTCCCCAGTGCGACAAACACCACCGCGGTGACCGAGTCCTTCAGGCCAATGGTGCAGCCGAAGTGGGATGCCAGGTCACCGATGAAAGCTGTCAGGAGGCCAATCATAAGGATGGAGACAACGAAGCAAGCCCAGCCGTTCCAGTAGTCTGTCGGGGGCACGAAGGCAAAAAGGACCTTCCAGAAGACGGTCAGAAAGTGCATCACGTAGTCGAAGCAGGAGGGCAGCTTCTCCTCCCCACATTCATCATCGTCGTCATCCTCCCCTGGAGAAAAACCACCAGTGCCCGATTAGACTCGCCCATCCCGGGGGAGGTTGGGCAAAGCTCCTGTGCACACTGCAGCCCCCCCCCCCCCCCCCCCCCCAGATGCTGTCGCTCATGATTCGGGCCCTAGAAGACCTTGATTTTCAAATATATTTTATTTTCTGGGCAATCATCGGAGGGGCTTGACAGCCTTTCCTGGCCCCTTCCCACGGCACAGAGAGACCCTCCAAAGGCATCGGTCTAAAAAAAACAACCCGCGCTTCTGAAAATGCAGAGCCTCGTGCCAGCACCTCTGCTTGAGTTTAACCACCAGATGCTTTCTACGAAAGAAGATGTGGGAAATGACCAGCCTCACGCCAGCTGGGGCCGAGCCGAGCGGGACAGGCAAACTCACCAGGAGTAACATGCGCCTCACGGAGACTCCCCCAGGGGAGCCCTTTTGGAGCCGCTTTTCACAGGCGCCTGCGGCTGCTTCCAGCTCTCTGGAAAGGTGGCTGGTTTTGGTGGCTGCTAGCTCTGGCGCTTCACCTTTTCTGCAAACCGGGCCTTGGCCATGAAGAATACCTGCCCTAAAATCTCCCTGGTCCGTCACTGCTTGCTGTCCTTCCATGGTGAAATTCCCTTGCCGCTCCGGGTGCCTCCCCACGAGCTCTGGCTGCCCGGTTCCTCTCGGTCTGGTCTGACCCAGTGGTCAGTGGGCAGCCCCTGCACAAGCACTTTCCTGTTTGCACCCCTTCCAGGTAGCTGTCGAGCACCCCAGGTCATCAGCCAGCTATGGGGCATCGTTTGCCACCTCAAAAATGCCATTTCCTTCTTCCCTTTATTTCCTGTCCCTGCTCCGGGTCAGTGCTTCTCTCCTCACCAACCTGCTGTCCATGCCTTGCAGGGGGTCACCTCCCCCCGCGCGAGCCTGCCAGCAGTCTCTGCTCACCAGTCACACCGTGTGGGTCAGGCCGTGGCTCTCCCGGGGCTGTGCCGGGTGCTCAGCCCCTCCCAGCGCACCGCTTGCTCACGGCCGGGACCCCTGCAGCACCTCCAAGACCTGGGTCTCCAGCACAGATGAGGGGCTGGGGGATGGGTCCTCATGCCCATCCTGCCTAACGCCCCCGGGGCTCTCAGAGCCTAAAGTGCCAGCGGCTGCATGCCCCCAAAAGGCTCTCGGGGAGTTATGCATCCACAGCCATGCCCCCTCGGACGTGCAGGCTGGCTTGTGCCCAGAAGCTCCCCTGGGGGTCTCTTGGAAAGAGCTCAGCAGACGTCGGGCTCTCCCAGCCCCTTCCCCGGGGTTCCTTGGCCCTTTTCCCCCAGCGCTGGCCCAGCACATCTTCATCTCGTCGGTCCGGGAAGGACCACGGGAATCCGAGCAGGGCTGCCTCGGGTTCTCCCTTCCCTGCTCCCGGTGTTGGCACCTCACCCGTCTCTCCAGAGCCGCTCGGCATCCAGCCCCCAAGGAGTCCCCGTCGTGTGGGGCTGCCCCTGCCAGCGAGCCCCCCCTCGGGGCCGGTGACTTCTTGCCTGACCCCAGCAGCTCTGGCAGGGCAACTCGCCAGCCCCCTGGCCAGGCTGCGGGGCAAACGGGGAGCTCCCCCCCCCCTCCCCGGCCTGGGGCAGTGCACCGTGTCAGGGGCATGGCACAGCCAAAAACTCCTCCTGCTCATGCTGGAACGACCCCTGGGCGTGATAGGCGAGGCGAGGCTTTCCCAGTGAAACCAGTGGGAGCTTTCCCCCCGAGCCTTCCTGCTGCCCTCGAGGAACGAGGATGGGTTTCTAAAGACCCGGAAATCGGGGAGACTGCAAGGCCGTTGCGAGGGGTGTTAAAGACATCCCCAGCACTCAAACTGGTGATTTTTCATTGCCTTGGATGCATTTGTTCTGGCCTTTGATGACGGCAGGAGCGAGCCTGGCTCTCCTTTCCGGGAGGACGCCCTGGGATGGCAGAAAAAAGGGGCTAAGCCCCAAAGTAGCCAAGAACACCCAGTAAAACCTGCTCCACCGCGGTGGGCAAGAGGGTGAAGTCCTACCTTTCCAGAGACTGGGTTTTCGGGGATGATGGCTCTGTGCCTGGGAAAAGCTGCTTCTCCCAGCAGCCACAGTGCTGATCACGCTGGCATAAGCTTTCGAACGGGACTGTGCTGTTTTTACCTGCCCCACTGCTGGCCAGGGGTGAGCGCTCCTCCTTCCACACCTTCCTCCTCAGTGCAGATGTTTGACTGAATAACTAAAGGTACTAAGACTCCCACAGGAAGAATAAAACGGTCTTGCTGTACGCTGTGTGCCAATACGTGGGTATCAATTAACCCCATGTTCAAACGGTGGCTCTGTGCCCTGACAACAGAGTTACTGGGGGAAGCTGCTGGCGAGCTCCTCGCTCCGTCGCCGCCCGCAACAGCCATCGCTTTCTGCCTCATTGCAAAGGTGGCGATGAGAAGCCGACTGATCCAAAAATTGGGCCAAAAAAGGTCAAGACTGTGGCATCCTTCCTGGGGAAGTGGAGGCCAAACCCTGTGCCCTGAAGTTTCACCTCTTGGCTATTCCCCTCCGTGGTCCTGCAGAGACCGCAGGCAGCACGCAGGAGCAAGAAAAGGAAAAGGCCCAGGGATCGCTCAGATTGTGAACGCGCCCAGGAAATTCAGTTGCCTGTAAGGGGAGTCAATCGGCTCTTGGGCTGGCCCGGCTCCAGCACGTGTAAACCCGGGGCTCTCAGGAGATGGAGCTGGAGGGGAGAGGGCAGTGATGGAGCCAGTAAGAGCACGGCAGGAGGGAACCTCTAGTGCAGATACCAGTCTGTGCACAGGGGACGTGGCACCCTACGTGAGGGCTGGGGTGAAGCTGGGGGGGGGGGATATTCCGGGGGGGTTACCAAGGTGATTTGAGCCTGGAGGATGTTGCCTTTGGGGAGAGGTGGAAGCAGCTGGCTTGGTGGCTCAGGAGGAGAGGAGGCTGGAGGGGACCAAGCAACAGCCTACGGCAACTTGGAGGCCTTGCACAGAGAGGATGGAGCGAAACTCCCCTCTGCACTGACAAATGACACGAGGGGCCACGGCCCCGAGCTGCAGCTGGGACGGTAACCTCAGGAGAAACGCCTCCCCCCGGAGACGCCTGCCCTGCTGATGGACATAATCTCTGGAGTTTTTTCAATATTCAGCTAAATAAAGCCATGACCAAGCAGGGAAAAGTCCTACTCGTCACCCTGCTGGGGTGCACTTTGCCTTCAAAGCACCTTTTGCAGCTCAGGACCAGCACGTAAGATACAGGCAGTGGGAAGCTTGATGTTTCGACAATAACTTGATAGAAAACTACGTGTTGCTTGGCTTTAAAGCTGCAAAACCTCACTGTGGCAGAAGCAGTGGCTAATCAGTAGCACGGTGCTATTATTTTGGCAGATATATATATATATATATACCCTATTCCTATGCATTACTGTGAAGACAAGGAACAGTTTTTCAGCCTGGGAAGCCTATGCTGGCCTGGTTTTTTTTTTTGGCTTGCTGCACAGAGGCTGGTACTGTCAGGATACACCGTGCTGCGCTCACACGGTAATTTTGCAGCAGGTATTTTAATCCTCTCCCAAGCTGCACGGCAGCAGGACTGTCATGGATCTAAATCTTGATGGAGACGATAAAACAGACTGAAAAATGAACATGACTGCCACTGTCATAACACTCATCCAGATCCGTCTATCATTCTGCTAAGCAGCAGTAACGTCTTTCTTTCCAAGAGCTGACAAGATTCTCTGAAGGTGACTTAAAACGCAGAGTGACATCAGATGGTGACCCAGGGGTGAATTCAGGAACAGGCTCACAAACCCCACCCCGGGGTGTTTTTTTTTTTTTTTTTTGCTGGGGAAGAAAAAACTCTACGGGCTGTTGGGTGCAAAGTGGAGGCAGCTGTGGGGGAGAGGCTCCAGCTCAGCCCCACGGACAGTATGGACGGGCACAGCACAGCGTGGCACAGTCCTGCCTGCCCCTTCACTGCCCTGCCAGAGGCTTCACCTGCTGCTCCATCGCTCAGCCCCCCCTGCCAACACTGCTGCCAGTTGCTCACTGGGCGGGAAACGGGGTTTTAATGTTTCTTTTCTCGGCTGGGATGTTATATTTCAAAGGGTGACTTTCACGTGCTCTCCACGGTGGGCTGCAGGGGATAAAAAAAAAAATCAACCCGAACTCCAGTGGTTGAGTTGCTCGGCACAAAGCTCGAGGTGCTAATTCCTGGCAAAAAAACCCCCCCAAGTAGGTTCAGAGCTCAGAGACAAAACTGTTCCCCAGCTGCAAGGGACGGCTCACGTCCCCCGAGATACACCACACTTATTAAATGTTTGTTAATCATCCTGCTAGCACTGATGGTGGGTGCATATTCAAGACGTGGTGGTAAAGGGGCCTTCACAGAACGGCAGTCTTTGCATGTATCACAGGGATGGGGAACCAAGTATCTTTGCTTTATCATGGGATGCAGTGAAATCACCGATTCTGGCACAGGTTAGTTTAGCCATATTAGGTACAAAACCTGCAGCAAGGATTGTCTTGCATGATATGTTCGTGCTGTATCTGAAATAATGGCAGGATCTCGGCTGGAGGCTCTAAGAATAACCGTGCGACAAGAGGAGGGCTCACAATTTGAGGAGGTAGCTGCTCCACAACGTCCTGTCCTCCTTTTCAGAGACGGACGGGAAATGGTACGGCCGTCACTTTTAATTACTTTGTGCTGGGCAGAGGTAACCCTGTACGGCAGGGCTCGAGGTAGGAAATCTGAACGTTCCCCCATGCATTTCAATGCACAATCAGCCAGATGAGCTCAGATTGCCTTCCCCAGTGATCTAATTTAAGCTGTTGGTTTTGCCCTAATTGCGTGCGGCCCAGGCTGGGCTGTGAGCTGGCAACATCCAGCCAGTGAGTTATAGTGTCCCCAGCTGTTCAAACCACATCTGGAGGAGACCTTCTTCCTTTCATCTTCCACAGATGTGGGGATGCTAATACCTCCTATCCTGTGCATACCGGTATATACAGCACTGGTGCCTGTGAAAACCCCATACAGGTGGGGGTATGCTTGGCCCAGGTGCCCCACCAGCTTTAATAGTGGTGGCAAAAGAGCTGTGATGAAACTCGTCTGGCCATTTACTTGGCAGATCTTGTGTCAGGCAGACCAGCACGACGCAGGGAAGTGCCGAATTCACATCCAAACCCACTCTGGATCTGCAGGGAGCGGAGGGGGGGGGTGTGTGAACAGGAGGGAGGGATTAGCATCTGGATTTTGTCCGGGTGAGCACTCTCAGCGAACAATAAGTTCTCCAAGAGAACCTGGTATGGTCAGATACGCTCTGCTACCACCACAGCTACCCCCTGCTGCTGCAGCTAGTGGGCTGCTGAGCCATAACCTCCAGCCACAGCTGGCTGGAGCCGCAGGGGTTCTTGAAAACAGGGGGTCAGGGGCAAATTCTGGCCCACAGAGAGAGGGAAGCAGTGGCTGCCGGCACCTGCATCGTCCTCACCGCAGCAGTCTGGGCAGCACCGGGGATGAGGAGCACTGCTGCTCTGCACCAGCATCTTGTATGCTGCTCTGAATTGAAACCCTGCGTTCGCCTCCCAAATGTCTCTCACTGAAATGCCTTTTCCCCCTCTGCCATCTGGTAACAGCCGGGGCGTTTCTCCGCCGTGTGCTACAGAAACGCTTAATGCAGGAGGTTTCCTACACAAGGTGCTCTCACAAAAGGGTTTAATCAGTTGTCTTATTTATGCAGACGCCGTAAATAACTCCACCACCTGTTTTGCCTCCTGCTGCTCTACTACGGCCTGCATTCCTGATACAGCCAGGCTGAGACACGAGCGAGGTTCATCGTAATTCACCTGACGCGACGGTCCAAACTCACCCGCGCTGACAGTAATAGCCTCAATAAACTGCTCCCTCCAGCTGTTTGTGCCAACCACCAGGGCCAGGTTTGTCTTCTTAATGAGCTTGTCCACCGTGTTCTGTGGATGGAGATGCAGAGGAAAGAATTAGGGGCTATTGGGCTGGAGATGCTGGGCTAAAACCCACCAGCACTAGTGCTGATGGCAGTGCACTTATGGAAAAAGCTCAGCAGGTTTTAAGCTCGGGTCAAGAGCCCCAGCAGCAAAAGCAAATGTAAGTACCCGCAATTCCCTTCACTGCTGCTCAAAAAGACCTTTTGAAACCTGCTCGTGGCGGGAGTTTGAACCATCTCAGCGCGGGCTTAACAGCAAATAGTGCCGAGGTGCCACAGCTCCTGTCGTTCCCAATGTTCCCACTGGGAAGAATCTTTACCGGGCTGCTTCAAAGCACTAATTGGGACTTGATCAGGGCCCATCCAGGTCCCTGTGGCAGCAGCGGGCAGGAGATGCTGCGATGCCCCAGACACACACTGATGGTGGGCAGCAAAACCATGGGAGGGGGTCAACCACTGCTGCCACACGGTAAGCGTGTGCTGTTATTTTTTTTTTTTTTTTTGTTAATACTACAGGACAATGGAAAAGATGGTGAAATGGCCAGTTTTTCAGCTCTTGGCTTGGCACCCGCATTCACGGCAGCTTAGCTTCACAATCGTCCCTTGCGTTTAGGGTATCAGGCCCTTTGCGCCGGGACTCCCAGCCTGTGAGTAGGATCTGGGTCCAGCACGTTCACGGCGAGGACGAGGTTATATTGTAAAGCCACCTGCAGCATTTTGGAGCCCGGTCAGCTCTCGGGCTTACCAGGTTGACGGTCTTGCATAATAACAACCACAAAGAGTCTGTGCGTGGGACAGAAAGCCTGGGATCAGCCCCCAGGGGCCAGGGCTGCGGGCTAATGGGCAGAGTGAGGACGCAGGGTGTATTTTAACCCCACTGCCATCTCACTGGAGTGACCCTCACCCTTTCATCATGCCTCGGCTCAGCCGCCTTTTAAAGTGTCCCTTGGTGGTCCTGCTCTGAGACCCCGTGATGCCAGGGCTGCCTCTCTTTGCTATGACACCGTCAGCGTGTGCTGGCCAACCCAAAAGGAGGCAAACCCCAAAGGAGGGGGGAGAAGAACAGGGGCAGGGGACGTGGGCAGTACCTTGAACTCGTAGGATTCCTCAATGATGACTTCAAGCTTGGTGTGCTCCCCCAGGACCGGGCGCCCCATCTCCGCGATCCGACGCTCTTCCTCCTCTTTGCTGGTCAGCGGCTGCTTTTCTTCGTTCTCCTCTGCAAAGCAAAGAGCCCGCTGGTGAGAGGAGGAGGAGGAGGAGGAGGAGGAGGAGGAGGAGGAGGAGGAGGAGGAGGAGGAGGAGGAGGAGGAGGAGGAGGAGGAGGAGGAGGAGGAGGAGGAGGAGGAGGAGGAGGAGGAGGAGGAGGAGGAGGAGGAGGAGGAGGAGGAGGAGGAGGAGGAGGAGGAGGAGGAGGAGGAGGAGGAGGAGGAGGAGGAGGGAGGAGGAGGAGGAGGAGGAGGAGGAGGAGGAGGAGGAGGAGGAGGAGGAGGAGGAGGAGGAGGAGGAGGAGGAGGAGGAGGAGGAGGGTCGTTTTGCTGGGAAGTGCTAGCAAGAGGTCTGCAACTTGTCCAGCCTCAGGAGGCCAGTTCACCCGCCGTGCCGGGGAATAGCTTATCACCAGGTACCTGTTGCCTCTCCCGCAGGGAGGCTGGGAGGGGACAGGCAGATCATCATTAAGGCTGCTCCATTTCCCAGCTCTCCAGGTCTGCCTCGGGGCATGGTCAGGATATTTCCATCAGCCTGTTATAGGGAGAGCTGCCAGCAGCCCCGGGGGCTGAGATGGACATGAAATACTGGCTCTGTCTCCTGAGCAGGGCTTTACCTCGGAGGGGTCTGGCAGCCACGGAGCAGGAAACTCCTGCTGTGATGACGGGGCTGGAAGAAATAGCGCTGGGCCATAGAGGCGTGAGGAGCCAGCCACAGGGCACAGCCTGGCCCCACACCCTGGGAGAGGAGGTGGCAGAAGGACTACAAGAGCCACGGAGCAAGCCTGCGCCTCCACTGGCATCTGTGCAAAACTTGGGGGGGGGCGTGGGGACCCCAGGAAGCCGGGCTTTTGTCACTGTCCCTGCACAGACCCCCACCGAGCTCCCTTCCATGCCCACCCCAGGGATGAGCAGAAGGACATCGGGGCTAAAAAGGAGACGGGAGTTAAACTGTCCGCAGGGAAGCACCACAGTCAGTCTGTGTCAGACTGCCAGGGCCCTCACGTGTCACACTGCGGGTACCTTGGATGGTGACCACGGTGCAAGGAAGAGGATGATCTCTAGCCTGGACCTTCCTGAAGACAGGTTTGCCTATCAAAGCGATCAGCAGGAGATCAGCAGGAGGGACTGTACGCCCCGTGCAGTTAGTGAACTCTACTCCTACTTCACACAGGGTTAGTGTTGCTCCCTTGCCAGCTGCCCCTCGTCTGCACAGGCCAGCCAGAAAGCCCTTCTACCACCGGCCAAAGGGTCTGGTTGGTCTGAATTATTGTTTCTGGGGCTCCCGAGGGATGTGCGGGGCCTGGGACCTTCTCCCCGCTGCAGTGCTCTGCCTGGTGGGAGCTGAGCAAACGCGGCTGCCGGGGCTGGCTGGCTGGGGGGGGGGGGGGCGTGGGGGGGAGCAGGGGGGCAGGGGCTGCGTGCCCGATGGAGCCCCTGGGGTTCCGCACCTCCAGCCCTGCCCCAGCACCCCGGTCGCTGCCCGGGGAGAGAGGACAGGCTCCCCGCGCCGCGCCGAGCCCTGTGCACCCCTCCACTGATTGAAGGCTGGACTAAGTGGAGAAACACCCCCCACACCCCCCCCCGGCCCTGCTCCAAGAGATGGAGGGGGGCTGGCTGCTGCTTCAGGGCCCCCCCCCCCCTTCCCCGAGGTGGGGGTTAGGTGTGCATGGGCAGGCAGAGCACTCTGTGAGAGGACCCGGTGTTTAGCGTGACCGGCCGGGGCACGGCGCCTTCTTACCCTTCCAAAGTTTCCCTCCAGGACAGAACAAAAACAAAGAGGAAGCCAAGAGGAAAGAGCAGGGTGAGCATATGGCCATTAAGAGGAGGGAAAGGGGGCGGGGGGCGGGGGGGGGGGGGGCAGGAGGAGAGCAGAAATCCATACCTGTGATGGTGAAGCCACCTAGACGAAACCAAAAATGAGAGAGAAAAAGAGGGAGAAAAAGAGAAAGGAGGATTAGCATTGGCACGGCAACAGAGCCCACGGGGACGTGGTGGTGCTTCCCTGCCCCATGGCTGGGAAACGTGGACATGGGGGGCCGCTCCTCTACAGACAACCCGGGGAGACCTGAATGGGGACTTTTCAACCCCTATCCGCGAGCTCCCCCGGCACCTCAGACGGGCTGTGGCGTGGATAAAATCAGGGAGAGCCTGCCCTGGGGCTGGGGTGCTTCGGAGAATGAGGGAGGCTTTTGCTTCCCTCCCTGGACGCCCTATCCTGGGTATGGCCAGCGAGAAAATTCAGAGGCAGGGCGGGCTCTAAACCTCCCCAAGACCGGAGGCAAAATTTGCGCTGTCTCTTCGAAACGGATTGGCCAACTGGCCTGTCCAGCCACGAGCATCCCTAAGTCACCAGGCAATATCCCGTTTCTTTCTTAATATCCTGTTAATTTTCACAGCACAGGTTTGTAACTTGGGGTGCCGGCAGGTTTACTGTGGCTGTAACAATGCCACTCCTGAAAAATGCTCCTTGCTGCAGCGGGTTACCGCTCGTTAACGTTAGTGACTTTGGGGCTCTAGCCCAAGGAAAGGTACCTTAGATACCTGAGCTTACTTAAATAGTGCTGACCACCCTAAAAGTTAATGTCGTGAGCAGAGAAAAATGTCAAACAAAATCAATTGTCTTCTGAAAATACGTAGACAAACGGGAAAAATGGAAAAGAAAAATGAATGCGGGCTTACCAAGCTCATTCAACAACAGGGCTGTGAAGGAGACAGACAGAGACAAACACAGAAGAAGAAAAGTAAATGAATAATGAAATCAAAAGGGATATCCACAGAAAGACTCCAGATCCCAGGGCAGAGATTTCAGATCTGTAAAGCTGCAGGATACCGTTAGCGTTGAGAGAAAGGCACTAAAAATAAAGGAACAGAAACATTTCATGGGATTGTGGATTTAAAATGAAAACTACTGCAAACATGGGGTGGCTATGGGATTAAAAGGCACACTCCAAAAAATTCATTTTTCCCCTTTGAATTGTATGTGCAAGATCTTCCTGTGGTCTCGGAGGCAGTTCTGCCCCGGGGGAGGACACAAGACGTCCCATGTGCAGTGGCTACTGGCTTTGACCTCCTCCAGCTGCCTAATGGGGGGGCAATAGCTCCAGCAGGCAGCTGTGCCGCTGGCATGCACAACGAGAGAGTAAAAATCGGTGGCAAGGCTCGACTCTCAACATTTTAGGTCTCCAAAAGAGAAGAAAAAGCCTCTCCCTCGGCGCACCGGTGGGTCTCTGGCCCCCGAGGCGCAGGCTCGGCCGCGGCTACACGGCCCGAAGGTGACATTTCAGAAACGCTCTCGTCTCCAGGGTGCCGAGCACACAGCTCGCCCCACCTCGTCGCCTCTCGTGCAAAACCAAGCACGAGACCCGAGTTAAAAAAAAAAACCACCCCAGTCGTTGCATGGCCAAAGCAGCAAACAGCATCCTTGAAAATCCTGCCTTGCCTCCAGCTAGTGAGTTTGCAAAGCTGAGCTTCTCTCAGGTTCCTTTCAGTTACCTCTGTGACCAGGAACTTTCTCTCCTTTTCTGTTTATTCTGAATTAGAAATTTCAGGTGGGATCCCATGAGTTGGTACCACGATTTTCAAACCCGGGGCCTGGAAAGCGTGTTTTCTCTTGCCGGACTCGCAAGGCTGAGCCCACGCTGGCCCCTGGGAAGCTGGGCAAAGCTGGAGTCACCGAGTTGAGTTGTCCACGGGTCACTTTATCCTGGCAACACTGGCTACGCTCCATAGATGCCACAGGCTCCGTTTAATGACACAAACCCCACCCGCAGAGCCTGGGCCATGCCAGCGTGTCTGATTTTTTTTCTTTCTTTTTTTTTTTTTTTTTTTTTTTTCAGCCCGGCTCCTGCTGGCTAGTCACATAAACCAGCAGGAAATCTGATGGAGGGGACAACGCAGCTGACCTCGACGGAACCTGCGCTGAAGGGGAACGTGGCATCGCTGCTGGACGTGTTTTTAGCCTGAAATACAGCACGGGGGCCCTCTCTGTCCTCAGCAAATAATATATTACATCCCCACGCCTGCTGAAGGGAGAGCTTATGTCCCAGAAATTAGAAAGCAGCCCCAAGGCAGACAGACCAAATCCTGCTGCCAATTTTTTACGAAGGCTTTAATAAGGGTCTGTTGTAGGGCAACTAATTATCTTAAGTAACTCTAAAGCTGCTTCTTGCTCAGCCACCGGTAGTGCGCAGAATTAGCTGTTGCCATTATTTTTTCACTTAATTTCCTTGCAGAAAAATGTGCACAGAAAAATAAGCGAACTCTGTCTTTTTGGGAAGCTCTGCAGTTGGTTTAGAAATGTGATGAAAGAGGGAATTGTTTTTATTATTCCTATGAGAAGCTATTATCCAGTGCAGAGCCATGAAACTTTATTTGGGTATAACCTGATTTCTCCTAGACTGATTGCACCTTACGGTATTACCTGCTTGTGCCGTGATTCTCAGCAATTTTCACATCCTAGCGCCAGTATAAAAAGGCTAAAATTACTGCTCTGGCCATGCGTTTTATTTCAAGCAAAGGCTATTTTATCTTCCAATAAAAATGATGCAGCATCACCTTTTTACTTCTCGAGACTGAATTTTCTACTCGATTAAAGGAAGGTGCAGCTGCGACGTGGCAACGCACGCAAAATGTCTCGAGGGGCTGGTGATGCTCGTCATCCCCTGCCTGGGGGCTCTGGGGCTGTCCCGGGAGCGTGCCTTGCTCCCGGGGGGCCCTCACCAGTGAGACGGAGTCCTCCCGAAATGAAAGAGGAAAGAAAACAGAGCAAAAAGGCGCAGTGGCCAAGCTTCGCAGGAGGGAGGGCAAAACGGCCGGGAGCCAAAGTGCGAGGAGAAAGGAGTGTGAGAGTAGGGAGACACAGAGAAAGCGGACGGCAGCGTCTCGAGAGCTGGTCTGGTTTTACTCTCACACCTTTCACTCCTCGTCGTAGCCACACCGGGTCCCCAAGCACAAGGAAGAAACTGCACTCTTTCTCATACTCCTCACGGTCAAGTACTCTAAGGGTAATGAATTTCCTGTGGGAACACAAGACAAAGGCAAACACATGATTGGCATCACACACGCATGCAGTTCACGTCCGCCCGGGTGCCGTGGTGTCAGAGATGGTTGGGTGGGGGGGAAGCGGCTGCACATCCCTCCCGGGGCATATGGGGAAGGGCAGGAGCACCCCCACCACCCGGCCAAGGTCGGGCCTTGGTGGGCTGGGGAAAGGCCGAGTCTGGGGGGGGCTGGCGGGGGGGAGGGATGGGAGGCGTCCTCGCTCCTGCCCTTTTCCATAGGCACTTGGGGATGTGAGGTTGGTGTTGCAGGTGCCAGGCATGAGTGAGCCAGACAGGGACACACAGGCTGGGCTCAGCCCCGGAGCACGTCCCCCACCTTTCTTCTCACTCATCTCCACCAGCCGGGGCTCCCCGATCTCTAGGTAGAAGGTCTTGTTTTTCTCATACTCCTCATCATCTATCACCTTGATTGATATCGTTTTGCTGGAACAGAGAAGAAGAAATAGAGATTCAAGAGTGAGGGGGGGAAGAGGGAGGAGGGGAGACAGCAAGAGGAGGAGGAGAGTGGAAATGGCAGGGCAAAGGGGGCTGCGGACAGAAAACAGTGGGTTTGGTAGCACAGGCTGGAGGGGCAGCACAGCCGAAAGCAGAGGGCACCTCCTCGGCCCGGGGCCAGCGAGACGCATCCCCTCTGCAAAAAAAAAAAAAAAACCCCAGGGTACAGAACAGCCCCTTGGCACCTTGCGCGGGCGCCCGGGGGAACGAGCACGGAGAACAGGCACAGGCCACGTCCCTGAAAGCGCAACGCGCTGCTTCAACCAGCCCCGGCGCACGGAGGATGCTCCGTCTCGCCAGGCGCAGCAGATCCACGCGCAACATCAGGACCGGCGGCTCCGTTTGGGCTTTGGAGGCTCCAATTTACAAGCTCGAAAGGGATGCTGGAGTTCAGGCTTTTTCTGGGGAGGGAACGTAAAGGCCAGGCGGTCTTTCTGCTTCGGGCAGGGTGAAGGAAAGCTTCACCGGTGGCGAGATTTGACTTTTACGTTTTCTTTTGCAATCAGCACAGCCTTCCCCAAGCCCTGAAGGTTCGGCTCTCTCCCGTGCAAGAGGCTGTGCAGCAATTCTCTTCTCACACGCCCTGGGCTTGCTGAATTTGCCCCCGGCGGCATCATCAGGGCAGGCCCAAAGGCAGAGCCCCGGCTCAGAGCACAGCCACGAAGCACGCACCGCGACGGGCGAAAGCCTCGCAAGGGCCTGGGGCCACCAGCAGAGAGGTTTGCACCTTGGGGCACCCCAAAAGAGCAAAAACTGAGAGAACGTATTGCATTACCAGGGGTGCAAAATAGAACGGAAGAAGTTTTCCAGCTCTTTTCAGGGACTCACACGGGATGCTCAGAAACACCCAGCCGAAAACTGCTCGCCGGGTCACCAAACCCTGGGGCACAAGGGGCTAGTGGCACAGCGGGGGGACTACTGTGGTCTTTCTCAGAGTGCAAAGCCCTTGAAAAGACAAAACGAGGGGCAGAAATCCAGCAGCCCCTGCTCCTGCCTGGAGCAGCCTCTTCACTGTCACCCGCGTGTGGCATTGCTGCGGGGCCGGGACCTCCTCCTGGCTCTCACCTTGTCCCAGCCAAGAAATAAGAAGGCAAGAAAACCAAGAAATAAAAAGGCAATGCAGCGGCTGTCTGCAGCCCTCTGCTCGCTGCTAACCTCCTGGCTGGGCTTGTTTTTTCCCCGAGCTTGACGGCACTGCCCTCCTGGGAATGCTCTTGCTCGAACAAGCTTCCCGGTTGCTCTCCCTCTGCCCGAGCCCGTCTGGCCCATCTTTTGAAGAAACACTTCTCGTCCCACCCCTGGCTCCTCTGCGCTTTCCACGGGCAGCCAGCATGAGTCGGAGTAGCCCTGAGGCTGCTCTAACATATGATCAAGGGGGATCTGCTGCTCCTGGCAGGTCCTAGCACTGAAAACCCACAAACAGGGAAGAAAGCCACACTCTTAGGGGAGCGAAATTCAGTCCATGCTGCCGGAATTTCCGATTTTCTCCCCTCCTTGCACGTCTGTACTGCCACCCAGAGCCCCTCTGTTAGGCTGACAAGTCTTTGGCAGCGGAGTCGACATTTTATTCTCATTCACAGCAAACACGGCCAAGCACTTGGGAGGAACAGCCAGGATGATTTCTTGTGCTGTTTGCTATGAGTCAGAAGTGTATTAAGTTTGCCCTTCATGCTTGTAATGAAACCATTTACTCAAGAGCAAGCGATGGCTGTGAAAAGGGTAACAATGCAGCACGGCTCAGTGTAATTGTATTTTATAATGGATATCTGTAATAATTTGTTCTGTTTATAATTATTGCTGCAATAGGTTTGTACGTAGGAAAAATGGTTACCAGGCATGCAGCCGATCTTTCTTTGCACTGATGAGTTAGGGGAAATGATTGTGTACTAAAAATCTAATGAAGTATGCAAAAATGCTCTCAGCCAAGCTATCAAAGAGGACCTGACAGAATTAACAGAATGGCACAATTTCAAAAACATTACTAACAAAATCAATAATTTTCCTGACAACTCCTATTAAAATGTACGCCGCACCCTGCCCCCATGCAGCAAAAAAAAAAATCCTTTCTCAGGAAAGTTAGTTAAAAAAGCTGCCTTCATCAGTTTTGAGGGCAGCAGAGGTATCGAGACATAAACTTTCCGTGGGTGTGCTCTGGCTTGCTGGGTGTGGCATTCCTCAAAGCCCCGCAAAATAATCCTCTCTCACCAAAAGGAACCTGGGTGCCAACTAAAAAAGCTGTTCCTGATGCTTAGACCGATGGGGCTTCCTCGAACGATGCGGCCTCGGGGCTTAAGGTGCCGCTGCCAGCAAGTGCTGCTCTCGGGCAGTTTTCCAGGTGGTGCTTCGAGGGTGCGAGCAAGCGCTCCGTGTTGGGTAGACGCGCGCCCTGCGGCTGTTTCTGCTGTACGAGGTTGCTGGGGAAAAAGGGTGGGAGGACTGAATGGCAAGCCCGCTCTCTGGATGAATCTCCAATCAGCAGGAACTGCCGAGGCAAATTTGTCCCTGGGATGAGGCAGCAATCCCGGAGACAAGGATTTCCTCCTAACGGTGTTTGCGATCGCATCGGTTTGAGAAACAGCAAGTGGGTGAAGGTAAGAGAGGTTAATCTCAGAGCCTGCCTGATCTCCTGTGCACTGCCTTTTGCCGGCTGCAAAGCCCCTCCGCAGCGCCCCGTACGCATTCGGCCATCTCTGGCAGGGTTCCATCGCTGGGGAAAGAGGAGGATCAGGCGACCGCATAATTTATCCTGTGTTAGAGTCAGGATTGCTTTCCACCGGCATCGAGGATGTGCCCCGACGACACCCTGCCCTTGCTGGACCTTCTGACACGGTCTCTGCTTTTCACTCCTCTCCCAGGCAGCTTTGCTGGACGGCGTGGGATGTGACGCTGCGAGCAGCATCGAGCTAGCGTGGGGCTGGCTGCGCAAGCTGGGGGTTGCAGCCCACGTTTCCCCGGGGGGGCCTCACCTGGTCCTGTGCTCCTGCTGCACTCAGTGTCCAGTTTTGCAAGCCCACTGCCTGCACTCTTCTTTTTTCAGAGGTCCAGGTTGCTGGGCGAGGCTGAGTTTCTTGCATTACAATACAGGGTGAGAAGGAAGCAGACCAGGAGCTCCTGGCAGAGCCAGGACAGCTTGCCAAAGCTCAGGGAGTGATGTGGGCCGCAATGCTGAGCGCAGCAGATGAGATGTCTGCCCCTTGGTTTCCCCAGCTGGACGCAGTGGGGTGAAGTACGATGAGACCCAAAGCCCTGACAGCGCAAGTAGGTGCTGAAATTTGCATTTAAAATCCCTCTCTCCCGTGGCTCAGGGCGTGATAGTGCTCGTGTAAACAGAAAAAAAAAAAGCCACCCTGAAACCCCCGCTGCTGAGTCACTGCAGGGCCAGAAACCAGGAGTCCCAAATCCACGAGACAGAGGGAAAAACCAGAATATTAAACCAGAAGATTAAAGCAGCCTCGAAACCGTTACCCATTTTCTCCCCCTCATGCGAATCTGGGGTGGATCTAGATGGTGTTTCCAAGCTGTCTCTCAAATCCTCACAGAGGCCTAGAATGCGCTTTGGTTTGGGGACGAAAGTGGTGTTTCTGCCATACTCTCATGTCTCCAGGAGCTGGGTATTTAAGCCAAGCAAAGATCCCAGGAGCGTGCAGCACCACAGTCCTTGAAAAAGCTGGAATATTTTTTTTTTCCTGCCTCGTCCCTCGGTCACGCCGCAGGTGGGAAAGGGCGATTTCTGGAGCATCTCTCCAGCAGATTTGGGTGCTGGGGGGGGGGGGCTGGCTGTCCCTCTGCCAAGCCAGACTGTGTTTGGGCCTAAACCCCCAGGCACGGCACACCTCCTGCCTTCCTCCCTGCCCACCCCAGGGAGCCCCGGTGACACCGTTAAGCACAAGCCTGCAGCAAACCACCCGCTGCTGCTGGGGTTTGCATTCCACTGGCCTCGAGTCTCTTTTGTTTAGCCCTGCTCTGGCATGATGGCTGAAGGCACCCCTGACACACCCAGCTGCGTTTCTGTAGCAGAAATCGCTTTTCCCCGAGTCTGCAGCCGAGGCAGTTGCTGAGGGAAGGAGTTCCATCTCATTTCCACGTACTGGAAATCAAAGAATAAAACAAGCCTCCCAGGATTGCAGCTCCAGCTCTTCCGTTGCTGACATCCAGCAGCAACAGGAGAGGGATGGTATCTCTGTGAACGTGGCATACCAATCTCTGCCCTTGCTCCAAGGCCAATGCCCTTCGTCAGGGCTTAGCTTTCATTTCAAACCACGTTATTTCATTCGAACTGCAAAGGACTTTTAACAAAGCGTTCCCACGCAACCTTTACCTACGACAGCTCCTGGAAAAGTCTTCTTGGCTGGCGATGCTCTAAGGATGGAGCACCAAGGGAAGAACTGCTATACCTGACCGGACCCAGCAGCCATCCAGCACAGCTTCTTCTGCCAACTGCCAAGAGCAACTTGGAGGAGGAGGATATAAGAGCAGGACGGGCATATAGACAGTATTTCCAACTGATGCTCTCCCAGTCCCAAGATATTTGTGTTTCAGGGGTTTCCTAGCCGGGCTGGGTTTCTCTGTATTTAGCTACGCTCTGCAGATTTCTCCCATTTCCCTCTGAGCTTGGGGAAGCTTTTGGCATTTGCGGTATCCCACGTGCCGGGGAGAGAAATGGGATTGCTAATGCCAGCTCAGCATCACGGACAGCAAATAGCTGCTCTTAGGAGGCGACGTGTACTTGGCACGAGCATGCCGGTCCGCCTGTGTTTGCTTGGCACTTCTATGGAAAGGGCAAGAGAAAGCACCCAGATGCCTGCCTGCAAGTGACGGCGGCAGGGACGTGGCACTAGCAGGACAGGGCTGAATGTCCTCTGTCAGTGGGCAAGCAAACTGGCTTTGTACAATGGCAAAGGCAGGGCAAGGAGAGAGCTAATGCTTAG